AATAAATAAATAAATAAATAAATAAATAAATAAATAAATAAATAAATAAATAAATAAATAAATAAATAAATAAATAAATAAATAAGAAAGATATCATCACCATGGGGAGGGGGGCGATGATAACTTCCTCAATGGCTCAAGGGGGCGTTTCTTTCAAAAGGGTTAAGAACCACTGATTTAAAGTATTTTTTACCTCACCTTTCTCCTTAAAAAGAGCCTGAAGTGGCTTACGTCATTAAAAGACAATATTTAAAAGCAGTAAGTGTACAAATATTAAAAAGGATCAAATACCACACTTAAAATGGTAAACAAAATGAATACCAAAGGCAGATTCAAAGCAGCAAGGTATAGCACTCTATTTAAAACCCCTCTCAGATAGCCAATCACTAAGAAAAAGCCTGGTCTGAAGAGAGAGGCCTGAAGTGGCTTACGTCATTAAAAGACAATATTTAAAAGCAGTAAGTGTACAAATATTAAAAAGGATCAAATACCACACTTAAAATGGTAAACAAAATGAATACCAAAGGCAGATTCAAAGCAGCAAGGTATAGCACTCTATTTAAAACCCCTCTCAGATAGCCAATCACTAAGAAAAAGCCTGGTCTGAAGAGAGAGGTTTTTTCTTCTGGTGGAAGGACAGCAAAACCTGTCTCATGTCTGTCTTGCTACTCTAAACTAGTAAACACACATGTCATTCACTGCAAGTCACATTTATGAATGAGATCCGATAGATCCAATTATAGGTGAAAACATTTTTTTAAAAAGTCAAAGGACAAATGTGGTGGCACTTTAAAAACTTTTATATTTTTTTAATGTGAGCTTTTGTAGGCAAGTCCACTTCATCAGACATAAGAGCTGATAAAGTGAACTTGTCCACTAAATCTTACATTAAAAAAATGTAAAAGTTAGTTTTTAAAGTGCCACCATATTTTTGTCTTTTTTTACTTGTTTACATTTTTTCACCTGTAATGCTTTGCACAGACTAACACGGCTACCCGTACTACAGTAGATCCAAGATTGCAAACCACCTTGGTTTGATCATTCAGTGTTCCATAAGTTGGAAAACTGGGGTATACATGCTGAAAATAAATAAATATTCATCTTGCCTGTGACACTTGCACCACTTTGTTCCACACACTAATCACAATAGCACTGAATAGCAATTTGAGGCGAGGAAAGCTGTGCACCTACAAAGCAAGGTATTTTGGGTGCTGAGGAAGAGGGATGGCCCCAGTTATTGCTTTGACAGAAGATTTGTAGAGGCCAGTGGAATTGTTGGACAAAACCCTTATTGGATGAGACATAAAATAATACAGAATAATTAAAAACATGGATGTTTAGATTTTTATCTGCTTCCCTTTCAAATTACCTACACCTGCTTTAAAAACTGTAATGTGTGGTTAACCATAAGCCAGCTTCACAAACTATATTTTGGCTTGTGTCTGCTATCCATAGGTATGAGTAGCCACAATTTATTCAGGTTCTGACTACACTCATAGCTGTAGTTGATATGAAGTGGAAGCAAAAGCTTCCTGACATTTCCCCATCACTGTCTGGAAGGAAAAACGGGAATTGTGAAAGCCAGAGAAGATGTGATATTCTTTCCCAGGACAATTCACCTGGGATAGGCAACTTGTGTCTCTCTGGATGTTGTTGAATTGCAACTCTCTTCAGTCCTAGCCAAAACAGTCAGTGTGAAAAGATTATAGGACACGCAGATCATCAACATCTGGAGGGCCAGATGTTTCCAACTCCTGCACTAAACTGTGACCTTCCCCAAGCTTTTACCCACCAGATGTTTTGTTACATTGCTGGTGAGGAATGACAGTAGCTACTTCATAGTCAAAACTGGAGGGCACCAAGCTGGGAGAATCTGGCTTAGCTTTATGTCCAAACCAGTCTTCTGTCAGATGTGGATAGCTACATGTAAAGATGCTGCCAAATCATTGACTGCAATGGTATGTGAGCTGCCAGGTGCTGTCAAAAGCTGACTGGTGCTGTAAGTCTGACAGCTGCTGAAAAGATCACTGGATGATGAAAACTGATGTGAAATATAAAATATTCAGCAAACAAGCATGCTGGCAGGAGGCTATGTTCTGAACTGCTGTGGTGGGAAGCGTACTTGAGAATCACATATACGCCACCTTACGTTCTATTCAAGAATCGCAAGGATTTAAATAAAATAAACAAAATCCTCTCAGAGTACACCCTACCCCTGGGTAAAAAAAAAAAACAAAGCAAAACACATTGTTGAACATTAACTCTATCAGGGCTCAGTAAAAATGCCACAAAAATATGCAGCATTTCAAATGTTCCAGCAACTTTACTCAGGCTCAGATGGTACCAAAAAAAAAAAAAAGTACAGCAAATGTTGCAGTTATGAGGGCTGTGGTTAGTCCCGCTGTCAAGGTAGAGGTTGCAGAGAGAATGAATCTCTGGCCGGAATGCATGTATCAGATTTCACCCTAACAATGTGTACTGTGAGGAAGGACTATTGGTTAATCCCGAGTTCTGAAAACACAAAGGCTGGCTGCAGCTCAGAGATCTGTCTGTCGCCTTGGGTGAAATACGTACAAAGGTTCCTGAATTAGCATTAAGAACCTGTGTGGTTTGCCCATGGCAGTGGAGAGATCGCTGAGCGACAACCAGGAATAGAGACGGGTGGCTGCCCATCTTTGGACTCAGCTATGGAATTTTCCCCTCTTCTCAAGCAACTCAGCTACATTTGTTTCTCTATTCATTTAGGAGGGTTTAATTAGCACAAATAAGAGGGGGGGGGAATTACCCTTGTCAAATTGTAGTCCAAGTTTAAGATGTTGTCTGAAATCCAGTAGTAAATTGCAGTTAGAATAGGCCAATTGAATCAGTGGAGCTTATGGAGGAGTTGACTCACCAAATCCCCACTGATTCAATGGGCCTAACTCTTAAATTCCAATTTACTGCTGGACTTCGACCATTGTTTACAGCAGTGCGCTTCACTTTCTAACAATTTGCTGAATTTAACAACAAACTCATAATTATGACGGATACAAATGTACTTTGTCAGAAATACAAATATGAGTGATTTTAATATTTGGAGCTGAATACACAAGCATGAGAATCAAGTGCTTCCAAGTATTAGATGCAATCCTTATAGCAGAGCTGGCCCTAACATTGGGCAGAGGGAGTCAGCTGTTCCAAGTAGCAGACTCAGTACCATGAACAGGCAGCACGTTGTTAGTTATTAGGTTATTTCACTGCTTGGCATAGATGGAATTTTCTTGCATCGTGTGACTTAATACCATGCCTTATTTTGGGTGCAGTTTGTGTTCTGTGTCAGGCAGCAAAACGAATTAATTAGCCCTGCCTCATAGATAGCACTATAGTTACTCAGTGAGGTTTGGCAGTTTTTTTGGTGGCCTGGATTGAAGAAATAAATTCAGTTTTGTTCATCCCTAATCCATCTTGCTCTCCCATACTCCTACCCTTGTTTCTGCAGGTCACCACTCCCGAAGACATCCCCAGGAAAACTGTTCTTTCAGACGGGAACACCTCGTGCCTGATTCCTCTTACAATAAAGGAGTTCCACAAGATGCTCCTAACTCTTGGGGAGATCCCCAAGGTGACACTTTAGCCGTGACCAGTTTTGTGGGCCCTGAACCCCGGGATGTACTTGTCTGTCCTGCTCGTTGTTCCCAGAGGCTGAGGAGGCCCCGGCCAGCAGGAGGGGCTGGGGAGCCCAGAGGAAGCATAGATGGTCCCAAAGAAGAGCAAGGAGGCAGCCGTGGCATCACCATAGCAACGGATGGTGGTGGTGCTGCTGGGAAAGCAGGTGAGGAGGTGGCGAAAGTGCAGAGGCTCAGGGATGGGAATAAACTGCCTGCTCCCCCCCCCATTTTAAATTTTGCACCGAGTCATGAGCTTCAAATGGATTCTGTATGTTTTAAGTAACATGGCTTAATGTGTAGTTCATTGGAATCATTGATTTTGTACAGATCCAAGTTGCTTCAATTTTTTTTTTAATTAAAGCAATTACAGAATCTTCCAAATGGTTCATAATCACTGAGAAGTACCCCCAACCCTTTTTAAAGAAAATGAAAAAGCCAGTGATGCACTGCAATTTTTTCCAAATCAAAATCAACCTGTCTTAGCATCTTCCCCTTCCCCACTTCACATATCTACTGAAAGGAACTGTGGTGGGTTTTTTTGGGGGGGGAATAGGTTGCAATTTAAAACAGAACAACTTTGTTATAAAGTAGCTGCCACTTCAGAAAAAGTCTCGCTCCTTGTTCTTTTCAGTCTAACTGTAGATATAAGAAGAATTACAAAAGAGGGTTTGTCCCAAAATTTTCACTCTGGCAACAACAGTTGTTTGATCGTGCTGGTGGTGGGGATTCAAGGATAGCAGAGACGTGTCACTGTCACCCTCATCACAGTTTCCAGAATTCTTTGAGAAAAGTAGCCTGGATCAATGCTTTGTCTTTCGCCCCCAATGAGGGCAGAGTTTTCCCCTCTTCTGTAATTCTTGGTGGGGGGAAAAGTAAG